TTCATACCTGCAATTATTATATAAAAGGGAATTAACATACAGTGTATTCACACACACACACACACACGTACATGTTGTTGAAGTGGATGAGTTAAACCTGACAAGAACCAGTTAGAATTTTTGTGGAGGATCAATTAGAAATTTGCCAATTTTGAACCCTGATGGTTTGTTACACATGCAAGAATAATGTTTAAAATTATTTTACTTTACCAGTAGATGGCAGTAAGTGTTTTCAATAAGTGCAAGATTTCAGTCTGAAGCAAATTGTTTTATCAATTTAAGATGACAAGAAGCTTCCTATAGAAGCAAGATGCTGCTGGAGATTGGGTAGAGACTAAACATTTTGTGGGTAACGTGTGGTGTACATGTTGAACTATGATTATTGTATTCTGTAAAAGAACTTTAACCATTATTCTTGTATGTGAAACAAACCATGTATCTTTATGTTAAATATTTGTTTCCAGTATGTTTTTTTAAAGGTGTTTTCAAAATTCTTGGACACCCTGTGTTAACTAATTTGTATGTGATTATTGATGAGAGCTTCAGACATTAAGCTAGAGGTTTAAAGTGTTGAAAAAAAAAGCAAATATAAGATCTGGAATCTACAGAAATTTTGAAACTCAGAAGTAGGGAGGTTATCATGTACAAAACTTTGTTAAACAAAATATTCCAAGTAGCTTAAAATTTCAGAGACAGTCTACCAAAGTTATTATTGATTTAAATATTTGAGCAAAGAAGAAAAATTAGAGTATTTGAACTTTTCTCTGGAGTGTAGAAAAACTAGAGGTGGACTGATTCATGTGTTTTAAATTGTTACTAGGTCAGATAAACTGCATATCGGAGGTTTTGTTGAAGTGATGGGAGGTTAAAATTAGATGAAATTATCACTTATTATTAATATTAGAAGAAAAAAGTTTAAACTGTAAAAGCTAGGTTGAGGCTGATTAGTAGGCAAGATTATTTCTCTGGTAAGTTTTTGACATATGGAACAGTTGCCAAATGTGGTGTTTTCTGATATTTTGAATTCCTTGAAGCTTTTGTTGGATAATTTTATGTTTTTAAGAGATTATATTTAGGTTGGCCTGGTTTTTTTTTTGTTGGTTGATCTTGATGGGGCTCTTGGCCTTTTGTCATATATGTTTTTGGTTTTTTTCTTTATGCTCATGTTTCTTAAGACACTGAAGTCTAGAAATCTATAGTGTCTAAAGATAGTTAAGTTACATTTTCAATACAAAGTGGTTGTGCATTATTAGGTAGTTTTGTAAGTTCCAAAAATTGACTTATTTAAAAATTTAAGAAACCTTTCACAACCATTTACCTATTCAAGAAATTCTAAAGTGATTCAACAAAGATAACTTAGTTAAATAATTTGAGGATATGCTGGGAGGAAATAGGGGAGAAGCAAAAAGTTGGTAATGGAGTTCAGTCTAACGGATTAATTTTACAAATGATGTGCCTCATGTATGTCTGTTAGGATCTCTTCTGTTCATTTGTATTAATGATATTGATTTGGAACATAGCAGTAAAATTAGTTAAGCTTGCTCTTGATAAAAAGAAACTTTGGTCTTTCTGACTCTAATAAGGATGTTATAATTTTAAAGACTGGCCAGTTAGTTGGACAAACATGTGGAAGATGGTATTTAATTATGATAAGGTATAAAGTTTGGTATATTGGTTATCATTAGTTATACATAATTAACTGGGAATCCTGTTATTTATGTAGATGGAGAAAAGCATCTTGGGGTGTTGGTTGATACAACACTTATAACCTTCAAGATAGCATTCTATTTCCTGTGGTACAGTTGCATAAAGCTAGCAGAATTTTCTGTTGTATATGTATAGGAATACTAACTCAAAATCTTAGACACTATAGTTTTTTACAAAACACTCATTATCATAACACAAAAACAACAATGAACTGTTTCATCCTCCAGAGCTAACTTTGCACTCCTGCCCTTAAGAAAAAATAAGTCAAAATGTAAATTCAAATCTATTCTATATTTTTCAGGAATTCATCAAATCGACAAGACACTAGTCTCCAGTACTACCAATTGAAATTCATTCTATAAGCTAATCGTCTTTTAGAAAAATAAAACTTACTAGAACTAGCCCATCTTTTCCAAATTGTAAACATCTGTTCCTTTGTCCATTTGTCTTCATAATAAAGCAAAAACAAATTAGACGCCCTTATTCTGTTGATCCTTTCCAGATAAGTTTGTAAAGTTTAGTAAGATCATGTTATACCCTTCTTTTCTCAAAAGAAAATAAGAGATTTTTAAAGTTTTTCTTTCTGAAATAAAGAACAAGAATGATCAAATTAAACTATTCAAGAAACTATTAAGGTTGACACATAAGGGTTTTTGGTGGTACATTCTAAGGGAAATGCAGCAGGAAATCATAAATATTTGGAAAGGTCAAATACATCTGTAGTTGAGGCAGTTTTATTTTTCCATTTGGGTAGTAAATCTGTGAAACAATTTGCCATCTAGAGTTGTTGAGGCTGCAACTTATAGGAATTTATAAAGAAAAGGTTCATAAACACTTAAAATATCTGAGGTTTGATGAGGAAAGTTGAAGATCAGGATGTTTTAGATTGACCAAAAGGCCCATTGATGCCTCTAACCTATACTAATACACCTCTACTGTAGCCTAGAGCTAAAATCTCCTGGTTTGTGCCAAGAAATAATCTAATTTTTTTGACTGTCATCTATTTCAACTCACTGCCAAATTTTGCAAAATAAATATATATCTTCATCTGATTATGACTACTTATCATACTCAATTCAATCATTGTCTGTCACTGGATACTACAGTTGTACCACTACTTGATCTTTATCTCTATAATCTATTACTCGAAATAGTCACGCTTTTTAGCAGTTTTTGATATTATGTCTTTATCATGCTGTGACAAGGTCAAAACTTGCATAAATTTTGAATTCCTGTTTTTATTTCTTAAACTTCAGGTAAGGCAGTTCATGATTGGATCTGTTGTGACATGGAGACATATATTCAGCCTGGGGGTATTTCTCCTCGGAATTTGGAGGTTGCTCGTGAGGCCAATTTTGATCAACCACCTTCTGCTTCTTTTCTTCAACTAGTCACTCGGGTTTGTGAGATTTGGGGCTTTTCGTTGTGGCTGTTGAGTCTACTCCTTCCTTGATGGCGGAAGGATCGGGGGGAGGGAATACTTAGTTTTTCCTCCTTTCCCTGATATTGCTGGTTCATGCTGGGAGATTTACTGCTTTATTTCGGGATATGATTGATATACCTTGTACCTTTGTTTGTCTGTTTGCATGCTTTTGCTTACCACTGCCAGGTGGATGTATATTTCGATTCCACAGAATAGATCTACTTTTGGATAAGTGGGGTTTTAGAGTGGACCCTGTGATCACCTTGAACAGATCACAGTTTTCTTGTATTTGTTTGACTCTGGCTTCTGTTCTTCTCTTTATGGATACTCAGAATAGATTCCATTCTTAGTTTCAAGGCTCCTTCACTCAGGCCAACTGTCATCACATGTATTCCCTTCAGTTGTTACTGTGTGACAAATGGATCTGTAATTCCAATCCACTAGATCATCCAGACTCCTTCACCAGGAGTAACATCTTAGTTCTCAAGTGGTGGTTGGATTAGATCAGCACTACCATCGCTCTACCTATACCGTTCCTTCGTCCAGTGTTTTCTCTTTTCATAGATGCCTCACTTCAGGGATGGGGTGCACATATCAAATGTTAGGAATTTCAGGGTATATGGATGAAGGGCAAATTTTCATTCCACATCAATAATATAGAACTTCGTGCTGTCTAACAGGCTATGGTTTTAGGTCTCAGTCTATTGCAAGAGAATGTCATCATGATTCCATCAATTACACAGTGATCTCTTAAATTTCCCATCATGGGGCATGTGTTCTTGGGACCTTTGTTTTTGCAATTTGGTTATTTTTCTATGGGGGTTAATCTCCAATCATATCAGCCTCCTGGCTTGTCAAAGTTCTGGGGTGATGAATTTCAAAGCAGATTACTTATCTCAGCCCAATCACATTCTCCCAACCATATAGATTATCGAGGTTTTCTGATGTATTTGCTGTCAATTCAGGTCTCGATTGATCGACGCATTTACCACTCCTTGAACCTCAACTATCAGCATTTTTGGTCCCCAGTACTTCATCCTCAGGTTTTGGTGATAGCTGCATTCAGTCTAGGTTAGATGGGGTTGCATCTCTATGCCTTTCTGCAATTTTTCTGTTCTTCAGAGTTCTGGCTATGATTCGATCCTCTACTTCAGAGCTGTTGCTCGCCCCAATTTGGTTGGCCTAACCATGGTTTTCTATTCTGCAGTATCTTCAGTTGGATCCACCTCTTCCTCTTTGTTGAGGCAACCTCAATCCAAAATTCTACGCCCATACTATCCCCAACTCATCTGTGTTTACCTTCTAAAGTTGCCTTGTGTATGCCTCACAAGGAGTTTTAGACCACTTCACCCAAACGTACCCACCATATCTTGTTTTTTGACTAGGGTCTAGCTTTGTTTCCTTTCGTTTTATGTAAGGCAGCTTTATCGACTATTTTTCATTATTTTAAACATCGGGAAAGTTTTTGACTTCCCAGTGCTATCCAGCATTCTTTAATCATTTAAAGTCCTTCTTCCCAAACAGCTTTTTCAATTACAGTAGTCTCTGGTAGATACAACCCCTCCCAATAACGACTTCCTTTTAAATACAACTTTTTTTTCTCTCTCTTCACGGAATGATTTTACATGGACCTGACCTCCCACAAACGACTTCCTGACAGATGCGACATACGACCATGATTTTGGATGGAAGGTCGATTATGACCTCTGTATAACAACTTTTCTTCAGATCAATAATGTAATTTAGAGAGACACATGAATAGAGTATATACAGTTTGGAACAAAGAGATTGATTCACAGCTAAGTATATGTATCGTGGTACCCCAGGGTGTTCAAATTCAACTCCTTGGTGCATACACATAAGTATTTTGGTTTAAAAACTTTCAGGTCCTGAAAGGTAATCGGGAACAGTCAGAAACTGTTGTTTGTTTTTGCCCCACTCGCAGAATTACAGTTTATTATTTCAGTGAATCTAGTAGATTTTGAGCTAGGAAAATGTTAACTTTCACACTCAATTTTGGCAACTTTTTCCGATGCTCAAAATAACAGTGGATAAACTTGGTTAATTTCATATCGAACAGTTCTATAGGACAATTTTTCAGGTTTTGGGTGCTAAAAAAAGAAACATGATAATTTCTTAGCTTATATTAAATAGGAAAGTGTGCAGCCACTTCCTACATTTCATGAACTTGCTGCCTTTGTTAGTGGAGTAACCTATCCTGTGCATCCTCATCCAACATCATTGTTTGAGGAATTACTAAATACTGCATAACTTTTAAGAAGATAACACGTGTATGCACAGATTTTTTAAAACATTAAATAAATGAAGATTTTTTTCAAGTTTACTATTTGTTTTATTTACTGCATTATGATACCTGGATCTGAAAAAACAATTTTCATTGAATGATTAAAATTGCTCACCATACTATTTTCAGGTGAGTGGTGATAATCACTCACCTGCTATTTTCAAATACAAAGGACTGAACTCTGTGTCTCCAGTTGAGTCAAGGCCAAACACACACCATAGGGTTTGATTGAGCCATAACCACACTTCACTCATTGGCTCGCCAACTGCTTCCATGCTAGTGTTCAGTTGGTTATGCAAAAATTACACCCACCACTGCAACACCTGGGGCTCTTTTGTCCTTCCTTCCAGGCAAAGAGTATAACCTGGTTGAGATGAGATGTATTCTCCTACAGGCGTCACACTGCATGGGTTTTCCTTATGGACACTTTCTGAGGGGAGCTTAACTAGGTTTAATGTTTGCACTGGCCCATCCACCATTTCAATGTAGTATTTTAGCTATTCTGTATGCTGAGGTGAGGTGTCATCTCAGAAGCTAACATTTTCCTTACCTGAAAATGTATTTCTGATAGATACTCCCCTCCGTACACCTCATTCATCATCCCAATTTCTGGTGCACTTTTTTCTAATGAGCTGAGTACTATAATATGGAATAATTTATTGTAGTAAATCTTTATTCATAATTTACATGGGGCTTAGATGTACATGTAGTGGGTTTTAGTTAAGTGAAACATTACAGTGTTTTTATTCTTAAAAGCATTTGATAAAGTTAGTTTATGTAATGAATTTTAGTGGAAATTATGAAAAAGATAATTTTGACTTGATATAACTGGTCATTTTGATAATTAGAATTATGTGAACAGTGAGTTGCCTCAAAGATCTGTTTTAGGTTTTCTGGTATTCATTTACATTAATCCAAAAGTTTTCTGAACTGCATAACTTAATGGGGAGATGTTCATACATGGTTTTCCTGGTTGATCAGTAAATTACCTTCATAAGTTTATATTTTATAAATTAATACATTGTAATGAATTATGTACCATGTTTTGTTATATATTTCTTATTTTAGGCATAATATAAATGTATATCTTTTATTTAATTTTTCAAGACACAACAAAAATAGTTTATGAATATATGATTAAGACTCTTGCTACAAAATTAGGCCTAAATACATTTTAATACTAAAAACAGAATCAAAATAAATATTTCTGGATGTACCCTATCTTACATCCTTATAGCTTTTTAAATAGTCATTTAATATGTATTTGTTTTGTATGTGTAATTTTCTGTTTCTTTTGCAGGCAGAACGAAAGTTCAATGATACTCAAGAGCTTCGCAGAGACAGACAGCAACAGATACAGCATATAGCTTCTCGTTTAAAACAGATTCATGCAGAGTTGGATAAGACCACCAGAGGAGAAGATCGATATCTTACTCTAATTACTCAGGTCCTTGATTTTGAATTTAAGTTTTGAAAATTAAGAAGCAAACATTGCTAAAAACACACGTGGAATTAGCTTTAAAACTTTTAGTGAGACATTTTATTGCACTCATGTTATCAGTCATCCTTGGAAAAGATTTGGATGTAAGTTCTTAAAAAAACTTGAATAAGTATACATACATAATATTGTTTCTCTAATTTTACTTGAAGGTTGAAATTAACAACAGCAAGTTAATTGAAAGGCATCTACTTAACACAGAAAATATTTGACAGTTGCCATCACACTGATGCTTGAAATTGCCCATAAAATGTGTTTTGAAAGGGCTGTTTAGAGCTTCTGTCAAAATGACCACTTTTTTTTGGGCCCGATATTTGTTATTTTATTCTTACCAAGAAATAAAAACTCTTAAATTCAGATCATTTATTTTTATGGCATTAGCCACTCAATCAGCTATTGTTTTTATACACACAGATGAGCTCACAGATATCATGATGTGACCTTGTTAACTGCTTTGATTCTAGTACTTTAATTTTAAGTGTCCTAGGCTAGTGATGTTACGTAGTAATACAAAATCTTTGAACTGTGTTGTGGTATACAGACATAAAAGATTTGTGAGAAACTTAGTCAATGTTTAAAGCTTAAATTGCAAATACTGACTAGCAAGAAGAGTTTTAGCAAATCTGATTGTAATCTAAGTTGCATTTGATTAACTACTTTCTGCATGATAAAAGGCTGCAAGGGCTGTCATGTTTATTGCATGTCATCATAGTTCAGTGGCATGATGTGAATATGTCTCAGTTTAGCCAGTGAAATGCTATTTTGTTTATAGAGAAACAGAAAAATTCAGTTAATACAAATTAACTTATTGTCCAAGTTTGTAAACAAAGAATCAAAATACAGCATCAATCCACTAACAGCTCCTGTAGACTCTTTGATGGGGGATGTTTACAGCCCTTATGCATTTTTCAAATGTGAAGGACTACAGTGAAATAAAACCCAAATTGATATTGTGTGAGAATATTAAAAATAAAAATATTTTATTTAAAACTTATAATTTGTAAAAGTAGTCTTATGTACTTATTATGGCTACTTGAATATATTCATATGATATATTTATTTTTCAGGCAATATAAAGATGAAATTCCATTAAATGTAGTAAAATATAATACTAAAAAATTTCACTTCAGAAATTAGATTTAAGTTATTGTGAAGTAGAGTAGATAAATTTTTTATTATATTTTTAAGCATAAAGATGGCCAGGTTAAATATTTTGGGTAGCACAATAACATAAGTATTCAATATAATTACTCTACTATAACAACATAATTTTTTCCTTTCCTACAATTTATTCTTAGGTAAATGATATTTAAGATGAATTCTCATTAACTGATTAGTTATATTGAAAGCATAATCACTGCTGTGATATGAACACAGATCATTCAAATGGAAGTTGGTTCCTGTGGTTTAAATTGCTGTTCAGGCATTGCATATTGTATAAACTGTACACTGTGAAGAGTACTAGTACCAGTGTGTTAAATAAGAATATGAATAGACCATCATGATAATTGCATTGCAAGTATGAATCTTGGATTTGATTATGTATTTAATAATAAATAAACATATTTAGTTTCTGATAAGGTGCTCTCCCTCCGCATACAAGATTAGTTACTCTCCTTTCTCTTTATACAAACTTTTTCAGAAAAGCATGCCACAAGACTTCATCATCCCTCTGTTGGAATCCAAAGCTCCAACACATCTCTCATGCAAATAATCATGCATCACCTCTCCACCAATAGGATAGCACTATCACATGACACATGTGACTCCATCTATGCGCCATTATCGAACTGTCACTCTTACGTGGTAGCTGTCGAGTTCAGATGTTCTTTCTTACATTGTTCAGTTACCTTGAAGTGGTTTATTTTTTCATTTTTTATATTTTTCTTAACTTTATTTACTACACTTGACAATTGTGGAGTTAATATTTTTATTAAAGCATTACTTCCTCTTGTTTGCTGCTTTTTCCTGCTTATGAATTCTGAAGTTACAGTCACCACTTGGGGTACTGTACCAGTGTCTGATGCCTTATTTTCAGCCACAGGCTTGGGCAATCTTTTGGGAGATATATCATCGCTCATTCACAGAGAGATTGAGTGGTATATGAACCAACATCTCTCGCCTACTTCTGCCCCACTTCCTCTTGAGCCTTCCGAGCCAGGCCAGGCTGATGATTATTTTGATTGTTTCTTCCCTTCCTACTTCAGATTTTGCCTCACCTTTCTGTCCACTACCTGATGATTCAGCTTGTCCATAATTGGTCTTTTCAGTCCTTATCTCTCAGGTATGTGATGTTTTGTCTCTTACACGTTTCCTATGACCCTAGACCTTCCCTCTCACATGAAACAGCTTCCTAAGCCTATGTAGTTGTTTCCCCTGTCCCCCAATATATTAGGGTTTACGTGCACCAATTTGCCTCTCAACCAGGGGAGGGCATTAGTATGCCTCATCCCCCATAAACATCAGATCAGTCCACCCTTGCTTTCATCGGGTGAACTTTCCCTTTCTCAACCAACAGTTGTTGGGATCAGTTCTATATGTTTGGGGTGAACCCAGATTACCCTGTCCAACTTACCCAAGCCTAATTTTCTTGCCTTTGTCTAACCCTCATAACTCTGTTAAGGTACCTTTCCTCCCTTCACTTTCCCAACCTCTTCTTGTCCCACCCTCCTGCGGTGCCACGGCTCGACATTTTAATCAACAATGCACGATCTACATTGTCAGTTCAGGCCCAGTGGGGGCTCGTCTCTTTAATTTAGTTTATTGGTCGAGACCTTTTGTCACCAATTTCTGGGTTCACAGAATGTGCTTGGAGAAATAAGTTATTCCCTTTCTTTCCTTCTTCCATTATCTAATGTTCCTTTTACCTTTCCTTCTCCTTGGGATCCCTCAACATACCAGCATCTGTCAGAGGCATTTCAGGAACTCATCGCACAACAGGCTACCGTACCAGCTCAACCAAGTTCATGGGAGTCTTACTCCTGCCTGTTTGGTTCCCAAAAAGACCGGACTAGCATCCTGTCATCAATTTATTACATCTCAATCAGTATGTTCATACTCCTCGTTTTACCATGGAGACATACCTTTCTCTTTGGTGGGCATTTTCTA